TTAACAGGGTCTAGGTGTAGCCATTGCTTACAGGTCAACAAACAGGCTTAGAATCAGGGGCAAAAATCCCTAAGGCTTTCCATTCCTTTTCTATATCCTTCCCCCCACGCTACAGTAAATGTTTTAGCAATTAAATTTCAGGTCTGTGGCAGAAAGGGAACTGAACATGGTGACATTCCCTTTCTGCTTTGTTGTCCTGGGTGAGCTTGTTCAAGTGAAAGCAGAAATGTTTACTTCATGGCATTGACATGCACTGAGACGACGCTGTTTGATGTCCCTCAGGGGTCCGTGCTGGGACTGGTACTGTTTAACATTTTTGTCAGTGACATAGACAGAGGGATTGAGAGCACCATCAGCAAGTTTGCTGATGACACCAAGCTGTGTGGTGTTGTCAACACACCAGAGGGACAGGATGTCATTCAGAGGGACCTGGACAGGCTGGAGAGGTGGGCCCAGGTGAACCTCATGAGGTTCAACAAGAGCAAATTCAAGGTTCTGCACCTGGGCCGGAACAATCCTCAGTATCAATACAGACTGGGGGATGAGGTATTATAAAGCAGCCTTGAGGAAAGGGACTTGGGGGTGCTGGTGGACGAGAAGCTGGATGTGAGCAGGCAGTGTGCACTTGCAGCCCAGAAGGCCAATCGCATCCTGGGGTGCATCAAAAGAAGTGTTGCTGGAAGATCCAGAGAGGTGATTCTTCTGCTTCGCTCTGCTCTGGTAAGATCCCGCCTGGAGTATTGTGTGCAGGTCTGGAGCCCTCAATATAGGGAAGGACATGGACCTGATGGAGCAGGTCCAGAGGAGGGCCACTAAAATGATTGGGGGGCTGGAGCACCTCTGCTACGAGGACAGGCTGAGGGAGCTGGGGTTGTTCAGCCTGGAGAAGAGAAGGGTCCGGGGACACCTAATAGCGGCCTTCCAGTGCCTGGCGGGGGGCTACAGGAAGGCTGGGGAGAGTCTGTTTACAAAGGCCTGCAGCGACAGGATGAGGGGCAATGGCTTTAAGTGGGGAAAGGGCAGATTTAGATTGGAGATTAGGAGAAAGTTCTTTACTGTGAGGGTGGTGGAGCACTGGAACAGGTTGCCCAGGGAGGTGATTGAGGCCCCTTCCCTGGAGATACTCAAGGTGAGGCCCAATGAGGCCCTGGGCAACCTGGTCTAGTTGGGGGTGTCCCTGCTGACTGCGGGGGCGTCGGACTAGATGACCTTTGGAGGTCCCTTCTGGCCTGGACGATTCTGTGAGAGACACCTACAAATGCCTAGGGAGGACAGGAGAATAAGCTGACCACACTCTAAAATCTACCAAATGTTTCTCTGTAATATGTTTCAAATTCTGCAGCAGCAGGGGCGTGCTGCTGCAGCTGTAGAGGTGACACTTCTGAAGGGAAACCTCAGCTGTGTCCCAGCTTGGCAGGGCTTATGTGATGCTCAGCAACGAGACATTGGTCTCACATCTCTTCTGCAGCTTATTTTCAATTGGTGTGAGCTATAGCTCTTCTTCCTCGGGGGTGCCAAACTGGAGCATTCAGGAGGAAAACAAAGAAAGAAGAATATGTACTTCCAGGGAATGGGATCTCCTATTACTCACAGTGGGAGATGGTTGCTGACAGGGATAGCTCTTCTACTTCTTGATGCCACCAGATATTTGCATGGAAGTGCTCCTAGACGGTGAGCTCCTCACAGCATGGACTGCATCTGCCTGGGCATAGAAGCAGCCTGTGGGGTAGGAGGGTAAACATCAGCCCACGCATGGACAGGCCATTCAGAAACAAGAGAGGAGGCACCACTCTGCTCCCTTTTATAGAGCCTGCTAGCAAGGGCCATGGGAGATGTTTTGAGGGAGTATTATATAGGAGGACTACTGGCTAATTGGAGACGGGCTGAAATCCTGTGTAAACAGATGCAGAAGCTTTTCCTCCAACTGATGCAGATGGGGATAACTACCAGGCACAACCAAACCAGGTCATGGCTGAAGTTGTGATGTGGCTCTGCCAGCCCTCTTGGATCAAAAAAAAGATCTCTGCAGGGTGTTCAATTCTCTTTTAAAGGTTACATTCCCCTCTAAAGGTTATGTTTGCAAACGAAAAGCAGGACATTAGCAGGTTGATGACTTAAATGCTAGGTGCTATGTCAATCAAAAAGAAAAGGTCTGTACCAGAAGTTATTTAAATACTTAGAAAATAACAAAGCACAGGACTAACTTGGGAGAGTACAGTTAGTGTATTGTCACTAATCTCATCAGAAAGAGCTCGTAGTTTCTAAGAAGTTTTCTTTATTTTCCTATTTCCCAGAATATTTAAAATATTTGACTGTCAGCCACATGGCAGAGCATGAGGTCTCTCCTGCTGGCACTGCTCTGACCAGAACCCACAGGGAAGAGTGCAGCTGTGTGGTGAGACAGGCAAGAGTGAAAGACCAGTGCTGTGCTTTGAGGTCCCAGGAGACCTGTTGTGTGGTGCGAAAGCTCAGCTGAGCAGTGACACTCAGCACCTGAATGTATCACCTGCACCTGGAATGCAGGCCAAACTGGCCAGGGGACCCATGCCAGTGACCCACCAACCAGGCGATATATATATATATATATCTGTCCAAGCATATACAAGTCCAGAAGCTGTCCATATGGTCCCCTGGTACATAAATGGCAGTGCCAGCATTTCCATTATTTCCGGTCCCCCCCTGGCTGGGGGACCGTGACCAGACATGTGGCCTGTGAGATTTCTAGCTCAGTGCAGCTCTGGCTAAATCAGAGAAATTTCCTTGAGCTCATGTGAAACCGTTCTTCCTGCTTGCTATCTCTGCCTATATCTTCATGTAATTATTTCCTTTTTCTCTTATACTTCAGCAGTGTAATTTTGAAACTATTATTTTCTTGTAGCTGGTTTTTAGCCTTTTGGTAAGCTGTATTGCCCTGTACAAGTGGCTTCGATGCTCCCCTGAGAGCCCCAACCTCTGCCATCAGCACAGTCAATTGCACTGCCTTCTAAATTCTTCTTTGAATGGTCATTCTCATGAAAAAACTTTGCTTTCCAAAGTTACATCTTTTGATATCGTTTGCCAGGGTTGTCATAGTTTCAAGAAGCAAGAGGTTAAGCAGTGTTTGAAGTTTGAAAGTGCCATTCCTTGTTCAGGCTATTTTAGGAAAGCATTGCAATAGCCCCTGACTATGACAACTGAGAACAAGTTTTGTTCCTCTCAGAGGAAGCTGAGGCTTCTGCAGCTCCTGCTCCAGATTTACAGAAGTGGAAGCCAGATGCTGATGGGCTGGCTTGGATGAAAGGTGGCCAGTCAGCCTCCCTGGAGTAACAGGGTTGACATCAAAACCATGACTTTGTTTCAAGTCAATGGGGTTGGAATATCTATTGAATTGGGGAACTATAAGGTTACTAGCCAAATTTTTCTCCACAGTTGTGAGAGCTGGAAACTGCAGTTCTCAGTCACAAAATTCCCGGACATGTGGCTTCAAGAGAAATAAAAAGCCACAACCCCCTCCAAATCCTGGACTTCCAGTAAAATCATCATCACTAACAACAATGATTCTGCTGTAGTTACTGTCAGTGACACTGCTAATAGTGCATCTGGAACCAAAACTGAGGAGTTTAATTTCAAAAAGTGAAGAATAGTCCATAGAAATGAGTGTGCATAGCACCTGTGTGGAGTTCAGAATATTGAAAGAAATGGTTTCTTATTTAGGTGCATAAATAAACATTTAAGAGTATTACTTTAGATTTTGGGGTCCAGATTCAGGCTCAGTGATATCCAAGCCTGGGTACTCTCTGTGTCTCCTGCGCAGGCACCTCTGAAATCCCAGACCCAGGCAATACCCACTGGGCGTTAGAGCAGGCAAATGAGCTAAGACAGAGCTAGGGCTCACAGCACTAAATTTCAGAGTCTGAAGAATTGTGAGTGGTAGAAGAGAATCTTCTCTCTAACCCACCCTTTGGCCACCCCATCCAAGCACAGTGTCCGAGCGGATATTGTGGTACGTGTGCTGGTGAGCACAAGTGTGTGAGCTTCAGCTGCCTTGGCAGTGGTAAAAAGATTTCTTAGAGCTCATGCCTGAAATCAAAAGGGTGTCTCTAGGGTAAATCGTAGCAGCTGCTCTTGTCTGTGGCTTCCCTTGATCCTGAAGCTGTGTTGTTCCTAAGGTTACCCCAAGTATAGACTGAAACCTCCCGACTCCAATAAGGTCTGCAGAATGTGGCAGGCAGTGGTTGGTATTTCTTTATTCTTAAAGAAGCTTTAAAGTAATTTCCAATGACATACTGTCTGGATAACTAATTTATTTTAAATTCCATTTTAGTTTTAATTCCTAGTCTCTTTGTTTTCCTTCCTCTCACCCAATTCCCTCTTCCCTTCACCCCCACCTGTCCCCATGCCCATCCCTGTTAATGAATTCTTCAGATATCCATCAATGTAACATCATGATAGGGAGTTATGGCTACTGCAGTATAAGCAATAGAAAAGTCTGGGAAAGCTACACCAAGAAAATACATATTCAATGTGTCTGAAATTGATCTGAGATCTGTTTTAAGTTTTCTCAGAGACCACATGGTTTTGCTTTTATCTAGAAGGCACTAAGAAAAACAATTAAATTCTTCCTGCAAGCAGATGTTTTCATTGGCTATAGCTGCACATCCTTATTCTGCACTAAACAAAGTCATGGCTTTGCCTTGGCAACATACTTAACAGCGTTGTGTTTGGTTTGCAAAAGAGAATTTGTTTTCCATATCTGGACAACTGATGTATGAAGCACAGCATCCTTTGGGCAAGAAGGAGCTCTCCCTCTATCTTCATGATAGCTTGAAGACTGCTTGCTATGGCTGCGCTTCCCTGACCCAGTGGTGCTCGCTGTTGAGCAAGCACATTTGAACTTCCAATTCTCCTTCCCATTCCCATTCCTCTTTCTTGCCTGGCCTTGTGCAGTTTGTATAATGTTTTGCCCTGAGGGTGATTGATGACCCACCTCAGGTATTTATGCCTCTGCCTTGTCCCCGCAGTATAACCTTGTGTGCGGCAATGCCTGGATGCTGGATCTCTCACAGGCTATCCTCAATCTGGGGTTCCTGGCCGGCGCGTTCACCCTGGGCTACGCTGCAGACAGGTACTGTATAAGTGCTGCTGTCCTTCACATTTTTTTCAGAGGTGAAATCAGAGGTGTCACCTGCAATAAGGTGACGATCAGATTGTCACCTGCAATAAACATGCTTCAACACTTGGAAGGTTTAATTCACTTTGGATAAACATTGCTAGCCTGGGTTAAAAAAGCAAGGTAGTCTTTGCTTCCTTTTGGGCTGGAAACTAATGTGATTTTACTTACTGATCCTGTTTGGATGTTAAAATGTCATGAAAAGAGGTTTTCTTGCGGTTTCCGATGTTTTCTGTGCACATCTGGACCCAGGAAGGGCAGAAGGACACAGAAATGAAAAAGAAGCATTCAGAGGAGTGTTATGGTCTGCTGTTTACTGGAGGATGTTTAATAGACATCATTGATGAAGAAAGCAGCTACTCGAGGAAAGAAGGAAAGGAACTCAATAAGGAAACACTCTCAATTCACAGGCTGGACTCATACACTTACCACTGAGGTCACAGCTTCCCCCAGCAAGTCCACAGCTGTGTTAGAGCTGGATGAATACCAAGGAAAAGGTGTGGGTGATATTCAGGCTCGAGCAGCTGACCTGCCCCAGAGCAGGGAGCTCCCGTAAGCTCTACCTTGCTCTTAGAGTAAAGGAACGTGGTTTGTGCTTTATGCTGATAATTAACAGTAGTCAACCTATGTGTTGGCTGAGAGCACCACGGATTATTCCAATGGCAGATCATATTTCTTCAGTTCGTAAAATACTTTCTGCCTTTTTCATTTTTCTTTGGTATCTGTAATAATAGTAACAATAATTTAAAGTACAATTTCTTTGTTGGCAGGAATACTTACAGAATCACGTGAAACATCATCTCAGATAACAAATTTTGAACTAGCAAATAAAAGTACTTTCAAGGAAAACCTCATCTTTCCAAGGGATATAGTAATAAGGGGAAAAGTAAGGAGGAAAGATGCCACTGCACTAGCTAACTTAGGATATCTCTGCTCATTGTTTAGCTGGGCAGCTGTGAGACTAGCACTTTAAGACTGTGTAAGAGTAGAGATATTACAGCTAATTATTAAAATAAAATAATGTGTTTAGGAGTACTGTGTATTAAGCATAATGTAGCAACCATAGAGCTATGAGTGCTGTACGTGGATAGCAGTGGGGGAATGTGCTACAGCCACACCAGTGGACTTTTGTCTTCTTGACAGCCCCAAAATGAACAGACCTGGTTGAAAATACCCTGATTTTTGTCCCATATAAATTCTACTCATGAAATCTTTTGAACAAAACAAACAAATATTCTCTCAAATACTTTTTGGCAAGATAAACAGCTGCAGCAGCTTTCACAGTTTCTTCTTCTTAAAACAGCAACAATAACAATGGAGAAGAGATCAAAATGGAAATTCTATTTGTGTTCCAAGGACACAGTTGCCATGAAACTACAGGGAGGGTTTGTTGTTGGTTGATTGTTTTTATTTTAATTTGAATTGCAGTTTACCTTGGGCACACCTATTAATAATGATGTTTTCTGCTGGAAAATGAGACTCATGAATATGTTAGACAGACTTTGAAAACAAGCAGTCTAAACCTAAACAAAACACTGGGAAATCCCATAAAATAATTAAAGAAGAAAATACTTGCTTTCACAGAACTGGTTGTACTTACTATTAAGAGACTAATTTGTGAAAACAGAAATCCCCAATGGAAGTTGTCCTTATTTCAACGGACCAAAATCTGAACTATAACATATGGGCCATAGTTTAGATACAAAAAATCAACCTGTTTTCTAAAATAAAAAGGGGCTTGGTGAGGACATCACCAGTTTTAAAATTAGTGACATGAAGGTGTACCTCATATCTGAAGGGCCAACTTTGTTACAAAGTTTCAGGCAGCCTCCCTTCAGAACGAAGCTGGTCTCAAAAAGGCACTTTCACATCTAGCATTAAAATGAGATGCCAGGGGAAAAAAAATCTTTGTGTCTTTTCATGATTTTTCACTTTCTTTTCCTTTTTTAACAGATATGGCAGAATCCTCATCTACCTGCTGTCCTGTCTCGGGGTTGGGATATGTGGTATCATAGTGGCATTCGCACCCAACTTTACTGTATTTTTGATCTTCCGTTTTCTCCAAGGTGTATTTGGCAAGGGAACCTGGATGACGTGCTATGTGATTGGTGAGAACTGTTACCTTCTTTCTTTTCTGGTTAGCAAAAGTGAAGGATTTTTGGAGGACAAGGAGTCTGGCTGTATCTGCTCTTGATAATATTTTTTTTGGGGGGAAAAAAAGAGCTGGCCCTGAGGTCAGCAGACAATAAATAACCCAAGTCCATCCTAGTTACTGGTTTTTTCCTGCAAGACAAGGTGCCTACATGCAAATTGTAGCTTGGCATCATCCATAGTCTGGGCTCAGGCCTGAACTGAATGTTTAGGGACGCAGTCACTGGCCTTTGTCCAGGCCATGCTAGGGACTTCTCTAGTGGCTAAACAGTATAGTGTTTCCTTACCTGGCAATGTCTGCTTATTTGCTGGTACAGAGGTGGCCTCTGAGAATGGCAGCAAGTCCATACTCTTTCTGATACTTGGTACTGATATAGGATGGAAAGGAGCATCAGTGTACATGCCTACCTGACCTCATAGGATCCCGTGGAGAAGAGTGAGGAAGAAGTAAGGCGTGAGGGGAGACTAACAAGAGTGATGTGTATTTCAGATCCGTCCAGGCTCTCCTTTCGTCCCCATTACTGGGGTACTCGAATATGCCTGTGAGCAGCTGGCCATAGGAATTCAGTAGCAAGGCAATACTTTCTGCTGATGTTACCTGAGGACTTATATGGCTGTCTAATTTATGGACTCCAATGGGGAAGGATTAACATAGTTAAGAGGTGGAGGAGTGGAATGTGTATATATAAAGGTTTTCTTATAACACAGAAGATCACCAAGATAATAAAAATCTACAGAGCAAGCCCCGAATAAACCAGATAGAGTGGTCACACAAAGAGTGACATGGTTAATTCTGGCAGAGTCTGAACATCTTACTCAGATGCTCAGATGAGTTAACTGCTTTTCCTCACTGAAAAAGGACAGACACTTGGATGGCTGCTTTTCATTCTTTAGCTGGGAGACTTTGCTTAGTGACAGGCTGGACACCAGGGTCCATATTAGGGTTATTATTTCCTGAAAAGGGAAAAGGACAGGAAGCTTTTTTATAAATAGCATCAAAACAGCAGGGATCCAGACTCTTTGATAGGTTATAGTCATGGCCCAGCGAAGAAGCTCCTCACATAGCAAGCTTACTTTTCATGAGAAAAGCATATTGTTGTGGCATCTTGAATGACTGCCAGGTTCAGAAAGAGAAACTCCTCTCTGGAACATGAAGTAGCACGACATTGAGGAAAGCACCTCACTTAAAAAGAAAATCAACCATTCAGTAATCCACTGTGATAATCCAAAACACAGTGATAACATCTTTATATAGTGCAAAAATTTGTACCATCTCTGTAGTCTGTGAGGCCCGTGACAGTTTTTTTAAATTGCTGGTGGAATTTAGACAAGTGGGAGCAGAATTGCAACCAGATGCAAACAGTTACAGTGACAACGCAGGAACAGCGTGGTGATGTATGCACAAACATACCTGTCTAGTCCTTGCAGCATCTAAAGCTCAGAAGCAACTAAGTTACACTGCTGAGTATCTCAGGTCCAAGAGCCAGTGAAAGGAGCAGAAGCTGCTTTTCCCCTCATGTCCAAGCACACAGCCTAATTTTAAACTGAGATCTTATCCTAAAACTTTGGCAAATGCTCTAACACCAGCAAAGTGTTTTATGACAGAACCATGGCTTCCTTAAAATAGTAAAGTTTTAACAGAAACTTTTGTTTTGCGACGCTCGGATCAGACTGCCCGACTTTAGGAAAAGGTTCAGAGATATGACATCCTGAGGGACGGTGTATTACCACAGCCCTAAGCAACGTGCTTAATTCTTGGAGAGAGTGATTCCATTTAATTCCCTTGAGAAATCTAAGCTTATGTCCCAGAATCACCCAGTGTGTTTACTAACCTAACATCTTTTAAGAGGCATATACAGATCATTTGTTTGGTTAGAACCAGTAGGATGGTTGACATCAGTACATCTCCCAAGCTACTGACCTGTGCTTCAGAACCACAACAAACTGCCCCAAGAACATCTCTTTGCGTTTACATACAACTCAGCTCTTCCCAGGCCAGTGCTGAGGAGCTACATTTAGGCAATAGAATTGGCCCAGAGCCATGTAGACATGATGAATAGTCAATAAAAATAGTAATGGTGTCATACCCCTCTGCATGCCAGCTGAAATGAATCAGTTACTTGCAAAATTGTGTCTCCTTTAGTAAAACAATAATAAGAAAAGAAATGTTCTCTGTGTATCATAAACCAAGGTAAAATGCTCTGCTTTCACTCTGAAGGCTAGGTAGTGGTGACAGTTCTGAAACAAACAAGAGACATTTCTTCGTGCACTGCTCATGTCAACTATGGATCTCATGGCCGTGGGATATTGCCTGAAATATGGGTTTACATAGGTTGCAGAAGTGATTAGTCAAATTCACAAAATAAAAAATCCACCAAAGGATTAAGAAAGCCCCAACAAAGGCTATGTTTGTTCTGGCAAATAAAGCAAACTGTGGACCATATCTTAGCCCTCAGAGCAACCAGCATGGTATGGCTAAACCCTTTTTCCCATAGACGCCTTGTCCATATTACCTGCTGAGAGCAGCCCCTGCCTGGAGGATTCTCTGGTCTGGGGCACAGGCCAAAAATGCACCAGGAAGAGTGCTAACAATTTACCACTAAGCATGACCATGATGCAGTCTCAAACCCCTATTCTGGCCCTATTTAATGAATTAGTAAACATGCAACAAGAAACCCCTCTAGATGAAGGAGGTGTCACCTGTGCTTGCCCTGAACAGCCTCGGTGACATACATACATTGCTGAAGGCAAGACATTGGGATAGACAGACTTATGACCTGATACAGTACAATCCTTCCACCACTAATATATTTCTTTCAAGTTAGGGTTGTTTCTGTATTGTTTATTTTGGCTTTCTCTCCGCTCAGTGACAGAGATTGTTGGTTCTGACCAGCGGATCGTTGGGATTGTGATTCAGATATTCTTCACCCTGGGAATTATGATCCTCCCTGGAATTGCATACTTGGTTCCCACCTGGCAGGGGATCCAGCTGGCCATTTCACTGCCCAACTTCCTCTTCCTGCTGTACTACTGGTAAGGTTACAGTCATTGCTCTTGTTATTGCTGTTCGAGCACCTTGAGACTCCTGCTGTGGACCCAAGTCTCCAGTGTGCAAGATGTTATAGAACAGGAAGAACATATTTGCCTATTGTTGATTTTGGCATTTTTAATTCTTTTTAGTGAATCACAGGCATTCATTACTTTCCTTTATTTGCCCAGGGTTTGCCTCTCTCGTCAACCACAGCTGGCCCTTCACAGAACCCTGCTCTGCTTCTCCTTAGCCCAGGGCCAGCTGTTTATCTGATTAACTTGTCCAAAGTCTGCTTTTCCCATCAGTCATGGGACCCCGCCTTTACCTCTAATTATATACTCAGTTCAAGCCTGAATTTGCCCTACAGGTCTCATGAGCTGGGCGGTACAGCTAATGAGAAAGCAGAGCACTATGCTGTGGTGAACATCTGTGGAGTGCAGACATTCTGTGGGCTGGATCCAAAAAACTGATCCATATGTTCCTGCACATTGTTTCCTTAAAAATTTTCTGTTGTGAACTTCTAAATGGTGAATCATCTTAACACTAGGCTAACAGAAACTGAAACACCAATCAGTAGTATTGCTTTGTGTTCAGTTTGTAAAGTATGTATACATCTGAGTGTGTGTGTGTGTGTTATCTTATAATGACACAGCTAGAAGTTTCCTAATCTGCCTGGACTTGGTACTACACGTGTTTAGTGTCAATTTTCATTGTTCCTTGCTGTCTACAGGCCCCTTGTTTGCTGTTTGGTTACCAGACATTTGACATCGATTGTGCAAATACAATAGCTAGATTTCTTATTTTTCAGCTTTGCGGAATATTGATATAGTCTATTTTCTTTGTTCTTGCCCACAAAGATCAGATATTCTACAGGACACAAACTGGAAAAGCAATCCATGAAAGAGTTTCTGTACCCCAAAGACTGAAAAATCAGTGTGTCATGTATTAATATAGGAAAAAGGCAAAGCACTTTGGTTTGCTTGTGATGTTAAAGTGCAAAAACCTTATTTATGACTTCTGTGTTCTTACAGGGTGGTTCCTGAATCTCCACGCTGGCTCCTGACACGTAAAAAGGGAGAGAAAGCGTTAAAAATCATGCACAACATTGCAAAGCACAATGGAAAATATCTCTCACCACATTACTCAGAGGTATTGTCATCTGTTTAAGCTAGAGATTTTTTTTCTAAACTTTTTCAATCTTTTGAAGGTTCAGTTGTGTTAAAATGCATTCTCTTTATGTGATGGGCAATGCACTTGAAGTGTCACACCAGAACAAGATTGCCATTCCCATACCTACTTTGTTAGTTGCAAGAGGGCAAAAGTGAACTCGCTGGAAAGACATGGGCTGAAAAAAAAAGTTTGCAAAAAAACAATGAATCAGGTCTTTCATTTGCAACACTCCTACTTTAAAAGCTTGTGGGAAATATCAGAAACACGCCTGAGCACCAATGGTATTTCACAGCAGCTGCAGTTTTAGCTAACGGAGTGAGCGGAGACAGCAGGATCCACTTCCCTGGCTCCTTTGCTAGAACTTCCTTGTACCACTCAAAGATAAGATGATATAGAAAATTGGAAATTAAGTATAAATTTGCTTCCATCCCAATAGGGGGAAAATATGCCCCAAAGTTCAAAATAGGGGAAGCACTGTCTGAGGTCACTATTTACAAAATAGGTTAATGTTTGTCAGAATTACCATCCTTTGGCCAGTGGTCTTGATGGAACTGAAAGGACTGATGCATTTCAAATGAAATTGTCGTGTCATTGCAGCATTAGCCTTGTTCTGTGCTGGGTAGCATTGCCTGGCTCTCAGACCATGTTTACCGTGGCACTGGCCTTACGGTTCTGTGACGGCAACGGAGGTGGACTAGGTTCTTGTTCTGTAACAAATCAGATCTGGAGCCTAAATGCTAGCTATCATAGTGTTAGAAATCTTTGTTTGAACTAAGGAAAACACCTGCAAATTGTTATCACAAAGCAGACCAGAGGTGGCATACTGAGTACACTAAAAGTATTTCAGAAAGAAATCATGATTTTCTTATTGAAAAGAAATTATCTACATAAAATGCCCATTCTATCAGTACTCAGTAGTATCCTTTATGCCTGCATACATGCATATACATTTATTTTTATACATATACAAAATGATCATATGTGACTTTTAGCTAAATTTTCACTGAGATCAAAGATAATGATTTTGTAAAGTCAAAACTAGACTTATCAGCAGAGATGAGTATGCTGAAATATACCTTTCCTCAGCTAGCTGCTTTATTCATAAGCAACTTGTTCAAGTGCCATAAAGTTGTTTTAATGGCGTTTCTATGAATGTTATGTTGCTCAGGGGAGCACGCAAAGGTTAATGATGGGGAGAGGGGTTTATCAGGGGAAAAAGCTATATGTTACTTCCTTGGCCAAGAAATGGGATATACTGGATGAGACTGTTGTACATTAGTGAAGCAACATGACAGATGGAGTTTTGATGAGCAGTAACAAGCTAGGCCAGCAATTAGTGAACCATTTTTCTGCTAGAAGCCAAGCATCTCTGTGATACCAGCCAAGGTTAGGAAATCACCCTCAGATGTCCCACAACACAGAATGAGCTTTTCCAGTCACGTTAGAGTAGCATCTTGTGCAACTAGAGGACTGCAAACTGAAACTGGTGGGAGAGAAACAAACTGAAAAGACTGAGTAAGGAAAGAGAAAAGGATAAATCCATTTATTGTCCTTGGCTGGGGCGTGTACACCAGTGAGATTCCCCGCTCTTGGTCGGCATTACCGAGTGCCTAGTGTGGCCCAAAGCACGTAGCAGGAAGGTTGGGCTGCTGCAGCTCCCCCTCCACATTCACCCTGTGTTCCTACACCCACTTCCCCTCTCTAAACTTCAGCATTTTCAGAGTGTCACAACAGAATGGAGACGTGTGTCTTTCCTTGCTTTTTGTTTGAAGTTATAGTTAATTTTTTTTCAGAAGTGTCCCTGCTCATGACCCTAAGCCACTCACAGCTGCAGCAGATTAACCTCCACACATACAGATTTGTGCTGGATCTGTTCCTGGGACCTTTTTAATACACAATGTCTGTCATCCTTGGTGCTGTGCCCAGAGGAGAGAGAGAGAGCATCTCCAGGAAGTGTGTTAGTCATGGATCAAGTGTATTTCTCGCATTTACTCACGTCAGAATTCTCTTTGACAAAGCAACTCCAGAATTTCTGGCAAAGTGCTGCAGGTGTGGAGGGACAGGGAGAAGAGAGTGGCATTATCCATCAATGCATTTTGGCTAAGATTTTTCCAATATGTCTGTAACAATTTCATTTGCCCCAGTCCCTTACATGGCTCTAGATGTAGCAGCCTCGCATTTTTATTGGCATGCAGAAACCACAGATGACCTTTGTATGAAAACAGATAAACATTTGCTGCTTTTGCTCTGTGAGTTACGACACTGGTACAGTTCAGCTCTGTCCAGAACTCATTAAATTAATTGCAAATTATAAACTTTTTTTTTCCAGTTGCTTGCAATTATGCTAGTATGTTTGTTTTTTGGTTATTTTATGCTAATTTTTTCATTCTTGGTCTCTGTCCAAAAGCAGAATGGGCTGCAAACAGCTGAATAAGAGCTGCTTCTTGAGAGGGCTATGGATCAAAAACCCTGCTTCCTTTATATATATTTCTGCTATATAGACATATATATTGCATATACATATTTATATATCTATTATGTATTAACTTACATACATATGTATTACAGACATGCATGGATGCACTGTCCTGTGCAGAATTAAGCATGTGCATAATTATAGGTCTATGTTATGAGAAATCTTTAAAAATTATTGCAGATGAACTGATATATAATTCGGTGGGACATAAAAATGCCAGGGGAGTTGGTTATAAAACTTCTTCCAGAGTTTTCAGATAGTGTATCTTTGGAAACATGGGCCCCGTCATTGAATTCCTGACTGCACTGATGTGAATAGCAAAGCTCTCCTTGACTTCAAAGAACAAAGAGAGGTTTTTTCCCTACAAAGAGATGACTTTCCACAGCAATCTTTTTTTTTTTTTTTTTTAATCCATTAAAAAATGCTCAGTCATGCTTGGAGTTATTATGACTTTATTAAGACATAAAAATATATGGTGGCAGCCATGCCTGAATTTATCTTTAGTCTTTTGGAAAACTAAAACCTTATTTGCACAAAGTCACAACTGATGGCTGGCAGCCTGCTCTTATAAACACAGTCATGGCAGCTTTATAACCATAATATGAGAGAATCCAAGAGCAGTGCAGAAACCCAGCAACCTCCGCCTGCCCCACAAAGGGCTCTGGCACACAGCAGAAGTGGCAGCACTTTGAAGAAAACTTCTGGCTCTGTCTACAGAAGAAAAGAAAGAGGGAGTAGAAAGGAAGTTCAAACAAATGTGGAGTTTCTCTGTCCACTTAAAAAGTTTTGTGTCACTCTTTTATGAAAAACTCACACACAAATATACCCAGCCAAATTTCACTGAAAGACTTCTGTGCTCTCCCATGATATGAAAAACAAATACAGAGCAAAAGCTTTGGGCATAGCCCCAGCTGAGCTGATGAGACCCTCGGGCAATGCCTGTGGCTTTACCTGTGTTCTCTTCATGGATCTTGATGTTGCCACCTGCTTCTCCATCTTTTTACCCACGTCTCCCTACTGGCCGGGATCGTTTCCTCGGCCTCCTGCACTCCTGTGGGCAGTGGGTGCTGTGGTCAAGAGAGGGATTTACTCCTCTCTTAGCCTTCCTCTCAGGAGGAGGCAATAACTGAAAGCCAGAGTGGCCAGGCTGCCTGAAATCCTCCTGAAAAGGGTGCAGCAGGTTTAACCCCATGTTTCCCACAGCAGCACTGAGAGCTGATGGCAATCCCATCTGCTCTCCCAACAGCTGCCAGTTCTTGGGAGCTCTCATGGTTTGTCTCTGCCTAAAGCCACCTCTGCCTCCTCTTCCTCATTTCCCTCACCTGTCAAATGTACATACAAACAAAAGGGTTGTCACCTGATTTGGACATCATTAAAAACTGCTGGCCACAGTTAAAAACAGCCTCCATCAATGTGCCTAATCTCTTTTTAGTCCTGCTAACATTCTGGCTTCACAATGTCCTATAGCAATGAACTCCAATGGGCTGTGTGAAATCCTGCCCTTTACAGTAATTCCTAAACCTTTTAACTAATGATTTAATGAGGTGCCTCGTTGTGACTGTATTGGAGGAAGCTGTGAACAGATTTACTATACTTTATAGGCAGTATGATTAATACATACTTTGTGGGATTTTTTTTTTCCAGGTTAAAAGCAATGTACAGCACAGTGCTTATGTATTTTAAGACCCTCTGAATTTCACCAGTTGAATGTTTTGTAGCACCCAAGCACCTTCACAGATCTGCTCTTTCTCTTACTCCTCTTTTCGTCCTGCTGCCCAGCTGTACCACCAGCCTTGCACCCAACCCATTGCTTCCTGCTCAGCCCTCTCTCCCGGCTTCCTGCGACCACCGCTTTGCCCTTCTTGCCACGGTCTCCTGCTCTCTTTCACCTCTGGCAGAAGGCACTGGGAACTCTGCTCCTAGTGAGCCTGACATGACAACAACTGCTTATTGCCTTCCAAGAAATTCCACGTCAGCCTCTCTCAGTTTACAATGAGGAAATAATTTTTCCACTCTCAAGTCAAGATTGGGGATTATCTTTTTTTCCTGATTTTTGTATGATCATCGTAAAGGACAGCCTGTAGCCGTGTCCAGCTATTTCTCATATCTGCACATTGCTCTGGAGTGCTAAAAGCAGTAAACTGGCTCATCAGCACCTTTGCTCGCTGGACTGGAATATTGCAGTGCACCATGTTTACACAGAAACTGCCCCAGCACCTGCCTGACCCCTGACAGCTGACTCTACTACTTACTTTTCTCCTCAGATCACTGTTAACAATGAGGAGGTCAGCAACCCCTCTTTTCTGGACCTGGTGAGGACTCCCCGGATGAGGAAGAACACGCTTATCCTGATGTACGCCTGGTGAGTGCTCATGTCAGTCCAGCTTGTTACCAGGGCGGGGAGTTTTGAAGAAAAAATCCCTTGTGACTTTTAAAGTCTTTTCGGCTGCTTGTAGTCATTTGTTTGACTCTCAGCTTTTTCTCCCTTTCCTCTGTAGGTTCACAAGTGCCCTGATCTACCAAGGGCTTGTCATGCGCCTTGGAATTGTTGGAGGAAACCTCTACCTAGACTTCTTCATCTCAGGAGCTGTGGAGCTGCCTGCTGCTCTCCTAATATTACTGACAATTGATCGCATTGGCCGGCGCCTTCCCTTTGGAATAAGCAACATCGTGGCAGGAATTGCATGCCTCATTACTGCCTTCTTGCCAGAAGGTAATTCCCTTCCCAATGCCAGGCTCTTTAGATCAATGACTTCTCTCCCTGACACTCCTTAAGCAAGGACAGCAGACCACACAAAACTGTAGATAAAAGTAAGAAATGTCTGGTGATGCAAACAGCACCACAGTCATGGAACAACATACCTTATTTGCTTACAGATTGCTCTGGGACATTTAATAGTTGTATCTTTGATGGGTGGTGAGCAACGGATGGGCGCAGTCTTAGAAAAAAATGTGTATAAAGGCCCTGTACTGCTTTTGAAGGCAAATGCAAGAGAAGAGCATACAAACATAAAGGCAAGTTACATTCCCAGACACTTAATGATGTAATAAATCAGTGATTTAGCTGAGGCAGCTTGGTGATCTTCTCATTTGCAAATAAAAGAATGAAAACCACAACACCATGTAGGGGCTGTGGAAGACAACATGGAAATTGTTGCCCTGCCCTCACCCTCCTAGGGGTTTGGACAATGTTAAGGGATTGGAGGAAAGGTACGACTTTTGATTAAGTCATTCTTATCTAGTTTCAAGGACAACTAAAAGGTCTGATATGGCACACAGGCTTCCCAGCACTCCTATCTTCTCCTTAAATTGTTTTTCCTCCTGTGTATTTTTTTTTTTATCCCAAGGAAAGCATTTGGAGGTGCTCTGAAGTGAACATTACCGCATCAGTATGCTTTGCCTTAGAGTAGGTGGGGACCAGCAGCTGAATGGGCATTAGGGAGGCTTTGTCCGCCACAGGGATGTTCCTGTCAAAGTAAGGGGCAGTCCTTGCCAGCCTTAGAGGTTTTAGTTCCTAAAGTTTATACCATGGGGCAATCGTTTTCCTAGAGAAGAGCCATGACCAGGCACATCAAGAGTATGATGTGCCTATGAAAACAGGCAGGTTTGTGGTAAGTGTAAAATGAAATCCTTCAAAGAGGTGTGTTGGTTCACCTCTGTCTCAGTTAAGCTCCCTTTAATGGGATTCCTCCAAAGTACTTAAATTAATACTGTATGCTTGAAGAGATTCGCTCCTTTAATAGAAGCAGAAACAGGAGAGGGAAATGGAGAGGGAAGATCAACAATCTGTTCCTGATGCTGGCACTGGTGGCTGTGTGACCATGCCCTGGGATGTCACCTTGCCACTCATTTGAATTCATGGGTTTGACTGCTGAAGCCCGTGAGGACTAACTGTGCTGTCATGGCAGATTTTCCCCAGGTCCCCACTGTTGTGTCCCTCTTGAAAGAGCCGCCACATGTCGAGCAGATTCTGGCCACCTTGTAGTCCTGTGGCAGCTACCCTGATGCAGGGCATGGTGATTCAGGCACAGAGGGCCTGGTCACCATGTCATCTGCTGACTTTGCCAGCAGCATTCTCCATCTGTTAAAAAATTACGAAGGACCCACTGGGACAGGGACTGGGGACAGTTGATTGCCTGGAGCTGGAGCTGTTGCAGGAAGAGGAAACAATGAGTGGCACTGGGGAATTACTCCTGCAGGACACCTGCCTCTAGCACCTCCATGTATTTTGGGCCAGAGCATATGCTGAGCACAGCACACAGGTCTGGAGTTAGAGCAGGAGCATCATGTGGGGCTGCTATGGCTGGAGCAAGGGGAGAAAGCAGTGGCCAGCAGTGTGCTGCCACCAGCCTGCTCTTGGTAGTGGTGAAGTGCTGAGGTGAGAAGAGGACAGACGAGGGATTATATACTCATAGATGAGACACCTGAGGTCCCAGTCCTGCTTTCAAGAAGGGTCTGTTTGTACAGATGGGAAAAGCTACAGCGGCAGCTTGTGAGCCCTCAGTCACACCGGGGTGCTCAGAGACTTGGAGTCCCCCTGGCAGAGGGAGGAGGCACACAGACATCACCCCAACCTCAAGGGTCAGATGGACTGAAGGGGTGCCAGGGAGACAACGTCGATTTGTTTTGTTCTTTCCAGTTTTTGCTTTTCTTGCAAGTGTTTGAAAACAGAACTTTTCAGGGCAAAGGTGGTGTCTCGCAACATGGGATGAAATTCGATGAGGGTTTGTTTGGTTGTTTTGGAAGGGAAATAGCCCCAAGCATCTCATTTTTTGGTTCAGAGCAAGACGAAATGTTTTCTTGTTCTTCCTATTGAAGTTTTGAGAAAACACAATCACTGCCAGAGCCCTCTCCAGTGACAGAGCTCCCCTTTGTGCCAGGTTCAGGCTTGTTGTTTCACTCGCCTCCCCATCTGCCTGGTCATGGTTAGACTATACAGGCAACCGTCAATTGCAGAAAGGCTTATTGAGTTCCTTGTGATGCTCCTCCAGAGGCCGCCTGCTCTCCAGAGAGGGCAGTTAGATGCTGAGGGGTTGCACAGGGTGAGACGGGATGGATCTGCCCTGTGGTGCAGATGTGACCATTGCACCCCCTGCAATGTATAAGGGCTCCCCACTGATGTATACAGGGCAGTGTCTGGGCACCAGAGCTGGAGTGGAGCCAGTAGAGCTGGGCAGAGCTACTGGGGCAACCTAAGGCCCCATGGCCAATTGGGCCAGACAAAGACAAGCACCAGAGAAAGGAAATTGGAGGATGGTCAGGAGTAGGAGTGTGTCTAATGTGCAATGGCTAGACAAATTATGAAGTGTAGTTGGCCTCTTCTACAGAGAATTATTTTACTGTTGCTGTAGATGCATCTCCAGAGGCAGCTTCTTTGTGGTCAGAAGGATTTGGGAGATGACTCAATGGTGTTTCTTAGAGCATAACGTCCCTGTATCAATAAATGTTCCTTTCCAGAGCACAATTTGGATGTGGTCATGGAAGCTTTTGACATTCATTCTCATACTCATGCTGTTATGCCCCATCACAATCTTCAATTAATCAACTGTAAATGATTTCTGATTCTTGAAACCAGCCTCACGTGGTGCTGGAAAGCAACAAATGCCAGTATAGATTGATATCAACAGCAGTGGCCTTTCAGTCTGATGTGCACTGGTCCTGTGATGTTTTTGCTGACAGGGCTTGGGGCTCTCAGAAATGCACTGCTGGCACAGCAAAGCACACTTCACCTGGGTTTCTTTTTGAATGAACAGATATTCCATGGCTCAAAACAACAGTTGCCACGCTGGGAAGACTGGGAATCACGATGGCTTTTGAAATTGTCTATCTTGTGAACACTGAACTGTACCCTACGACGCTGAGGTACGTCAAAAGGTCCCAGGAATCTTTTAACTTTTCCCTCTGCTTTTTCCCCTGCTTTTGGGAGGGGAAAAAACTGTTTCACTGTTTCACCACTTTTTGGGAAAACATGCTTTTTCTCCAGAGTTTTCTAACTAAATAACCACTGCTGAATCTGGATGGCATGTTCTGACAAGGTAACTTTGGAGCTAAGTCTACATTCTGCTCCTTAAACTGCTGGTTCCTCTGTTTGGTAGCACCTTTCAAATATCTGGCACTATTTTTCTTTTGCAGAAACTTCGGCGTTTCCCTGTGCTCGAGTCTGTGTGACCTTGGTGGGATCATAGCCCCATTCCTGCTTTTCCGATTAGCAGCCATTTGGTTGGAGCTACCTCTAATAATTTTCAGTAAGATTTGATTTAAAATGCACTTTTAGTTTAAAACCCCTCCTCCTAACAGAGCTTTCCTTTGGGACAAAAGTGTAGCGTGTGGACTCATCTTTCCCTCAAACATAGAGCCTAGAGCAAGAGGCTGAATAGCAAAAGGGTGAAAAGTGGGTGATTTCACACCGTGCTATGGAAGAGTTCAGGTCTGCTTGGGTGACTTGGCTAAAGGAGCATAAAAGAAACTATGTGAGGTGCTTTAAGGCTGAGAAACTTTACAGCTAAACTCTGTAATTGCAGAGAAATAAGCTTAATCTCCCAACAGCAGAAGTTAATGTCCTTTAAAATGTATTTGGTTTGAGTTTTTTGGTATATACAGTTATGACTATGGATGTTGTATTACCCATAACTACTTATTCCTGTCAAACTCTTTTCCTCAGTTGCTTTTTGGGAAAAATGAGCCCTGTGGATTAGTTCTGTGGGGAAAAACGTAGCTATTTCTAACAAAGAAACAGAAGTCTTTGGCCAAACCGGGAGATACGTGTGACCAGGAAAAAAGCAAAAGGGGTAGGATAGAATAAGAAGGGAAACTGGTGCTAATTAAAGTTTTAGCTTGAAAATAAATAATGGAAAGACAAGAGACATTTTTTAAAATTACCATTATTCCAAGAATAGATTTATATAGAAGTACTGTTCACATTGTCTAATTCGGAAATTCTGCTGCTGCTGAATTGAGTAAAGAGCTACAGAATGAGAAAGAAACAGAGATAACTGTGCAACAGTCAGGGATTTTAGCTTTCACTCCAGCCCTTCTACTTTTGACTTATTACATTATTTAAATTACATCTGTGCAGAAAATTATTCCAAAATAACCATCCTTGATGAACTATTTCAGATTGGCTCTCTATCTGAATGCTTTTTCCCAATGATTAATTTTTATTCTGAATCACATAATCTACTTTGGCCATGGATACACAAGGAGAGTATTTCAGGAAAATCTCAATGGTCTCAAGAAACGCAGATGCACCTACATGATAAAGCCCCTCAAACAAAGGCAGATTTGTCTTATGTGAGAAATCATAGAATCATAGAATACCATCCTGGTTCCAGGGCAGTCTGTATGCACTTGCCCATGTGCACTTATCTCAATTTTTTGACTTCTAAGATCTCCCTTTTGAGGCAATTCAGACTGCAAATGAACACCTAGCCCTCAAGTTTTGTTTTGTTTTGGTTTGGTTTGTTTCCAATAGGTTAAATTAATGTAGCATAAAGGTGTTTGATAAGAGTAGGGTAATCATAAATAGCAGTTGCACTTTAAAAATCTCACTTTAACCTTAATGTGAATAAACTTTCCTCTGTGGATAAGCCCTGAAAATAAAAAAAAGTAATAATTTTCTTTTGCTTTTGTATTTCTTCAATGTCCATTGTAGGTTTTCTTGCAGTTGTCTGCGGGGTCCTAGTATTGCTTTTACCGGAGACAAAGGGAATCTCTTTACCAGAGACAGTGGAAGATGTGGAACAGCTTTCAAGGTATGATACGTTTTCTTACATTTACTTGGATAAGGTTTCCTGAGGGCATTCCCCTGCAACCCTGACAGCTGTCATAAATTATTGATGTTTTCCAAGTATCAAAGTAAATTCCCTAGTGAGGTTGATGTTATGAGCAGCTGGTATCTTCCTCAATAGAAATGTGAACTTTTCAGTGCCACTAAGGCGGGTTGTTAAAAAAAGCATGGGGATAGAACCTGTATTTTTCTCATAGAGACACAAAGTTGTCTTGTGCACCTCTAGAAGCAGAAAGGAATGATGTGCAAGAGAGATGCTGCAAAGCATAACCTGCAACTCTCTGCTCAAGAAATCCAGCCATTACCTCACTCAAAGTACTCTGTGAGGAAGGGCTCTTGATCATGGGAGCATTTCCACAATTTGTGAAGTTATTGAAAATGACTTCACATTTTTATGAGTTTGTAGCTGAAGAGTTACAGGCACAGCTTTCCCTCTCCTGGCACAGGGCAAGCCAGACTCTTCACTGCACTGCAAGCAGGCAGGAAACATTTACACCTTACTTGGCAGTAAATTTCTTGAGGAGCTAGTGCTATACCTTAGTGTTTCAAGCGGAGGCTTTGGATATTACATCAACAACTTTTGCTGGCTTCAATGTACAAACTAAAGAAAGAGATGATTTTCTATGCAGAAAATAAATGTTTCAGTACCACAGTTTGGACTACAACAGGGAGGATGTATTTTCCTGTTTCTTTCGCACTTATGACTCTCTCCCCATCTGTTTCTTCAGTCATTTTGGTAAATGTGGCAAGAAACGGAAACACCGGGACACCAACTCTTACATTTGACCTTCAAAAGACGGCACTGAGCAAAGAACCATGTTCCCATACTGGGAATTTGTTCTCCACCTGCCACTACTTCAAAATTTGCTGCAGAGTATGGATTTAACTCCATGTTCCTCTTCTAGGCATAAGGACTTTTAAAACAAGCAGTGTATTTTTCTATAAAGATGGAATAAATTCATTTTTTTTCTTAGTATGCTCTTTGCAGGAAGGGAGCACTCTCTGGTTCTTGATAGAGAACAGAACAGTTTAAAAAGATGTATTATCCAGCTCAGTGAGCTCTTATTTATTTCTTTATACATTTGAGCCATTTGTTTATTTCTATTGTTAGCCTATACCTTTGGGTGTGGAGGCTTGGAAACGGTACTGCTTGTTTAATATTTGGACGACCTTGGGGAAGAAGGGATGAGTATTTCAACCCGTTCTCCTTTGCCCCTGGAGAATCTGGACAAACAGAAGATCTGGTGGCTCAGAAATGAGGATGCTGATCAGGACAGTCCTTTCTCTGATCAAGAGGGATGGGAGGCATGCATCAGGACACTCTCACCCTGGTCTGTTCCTCTCCCCCAGAGAGCCTCTGGCACAACCCCCCAGCTTCCCTCCCTGTTCAAGGGCTTTCTGAAATGTGGCAGCAGTCCTCCTCCTCTCCTTCCCAGGGCTTTATATAGGTGTCACATCCTAAACAGGGCATTAGGTCTGTATGTGAGTGATTCTGCTGCCCACTGGTACCTCCCTCCAGACCCAGCTGGGGTTCATGTGCCATCCCATTGTCTGGTCCCCTGGCCAGGGAGCCCTGTGTCTCCTGAGGGAAAGGCTTTTGTCTGCTCTCCCCTGTCGGGTGCTTTTTCAACCATCTCTTTCAAGAGCTGATCTTTTCCTTTCTAAAACATACTCTCTGTCCATGGCTACAAACCAAATTCCCTCTCCTTGACCACTGCCAAGATGACCTCCAGTTTCTGTCTTCTATCCATTATTATTATTTGTCATCTTTCATTCTTGGCCATAAATTATCTGGGTTGTTGCCAGGAACGTTAAGCTGTCTTGGGAAGATGAGCAGGGATGAGACGAGAGCTTTGGTTATGGAGGGAAGTGTTAACTGGTCCTGGTTGTTTCAAGCTGCCGTGTAGCAGAGTAGCTTGAATCTGTGGCTCTGCAAGCAGATAGCAGGGACACCCTGCCTCCCCTTTCAGCTGCATGACCTTCATCAAGCATTGGGTCCTGGACACTGACAGGTAAACAATACACTCCTTACAGTGAAGGACTTGATGTGAAGGATGTGGTGTTCAAATGGTATCCTGTTACCAACAGAGAATTAAATAAAAAAAAAAAGAAAGCCAATGAGCTCTTGTAATGGCCTTATAAGCTCAGAAAGTAACATATTTGGCATAAGCAAATATATGACTGAATTTTGAAGGTTCATATCTTAATGAGTAGTGCTAACATTACAGTCATTGCAGACGAATGACTACTGCTCCAGTCTCACCATCTTAAAAACACATACAGGCAGGTGCTTGCACAGGGGGATTTCCTGTGGTGAGGAGTATATTGTGTGTTTCAACAGTTCCCGTCTCTCCCTGCCTTTCCTAGCAACTGCCCTGCCCATGCCACCAACCATGCTGGAGGAAAACAGGACCTTTCATAGTAATCTCAGTCTAACGTTTGCATACTTTGAGCAGTTAGCGATAAAGGGCTGTCCTTTAAGGCTGCCTCTAACTTCCCCTGAGCATAGTTAAAGGTCAATGGGATGCATAGCACAAGTCAGCAGTGATTAAAATATATGAAACTAAACGAGTGTCTCATAATATATCATCTGGCTAATTGGCGATAACTAGAAGACAACCCAAAACCGGAGCTGCTGCTGCAGGAAGGAAACTGCTCCTACACCAGCACAGGTCTACTGCAGATAGCTGTAGACTCCTTGGGGCTGGCTGGCAGGGACCAGCCCTGAACTGGAAGCTGTGGGCTTGCACTGGCCGGGGGCTGTGTCTCAGCGCAGGGTGGGAGCGCTGGTGCCCAGCCACAGAGCTCAGCCCTGCCTTCCTTGCACCCAGCCAGCCCTCACCACGGCCACTGCCCTCGGAGAGCCAGGGTGAGGCCATCAGACGCGATGCAGTGTCAAAAATTTGGATGTATTTATTTTCTAAAAAACAGTTATGTAAGGGACAGCAGCCTGTGTACAGCTTCTGACTTCCAATATGATAGTACTTAACAACTTCAGGTAGAGTTTTTATTTGGTAATAGCTCCTGTACTAACTCTTACCACTAACAGGCAGATTTGGTAAGATGGGAAATCCTCCTGTCTCTGTGAGACGTTGGGTTGCCTCATGAAGGTTGTGAACCGGGCAGTAACCTGTTGTACGACCAGCTGTTTGGTGGCCCTGGGGTTACATTGTTGTTGGTGAGAGAGGACAGATGAGGTGGTGGAAGCAGAGGGAGAGCTTCAGCAAAGGAGAACCCTGGGGAAAACCAGCTGGAGTTGTGCAGAATTTTCTCAGGGGGCAGAACAGATCTCTCCTACAGGGCTTGGGTTGACAATCAGAGGGCTGTTGCGATCCACCTCAGTGAAAGGCACCTCTTCAGTAGTGACCAAACACTGCCAGCTTTACTTGTCTTGCTTGTGCTGTACTTCAGAAGCTCAGTGAGAGATGTGGTGTGCATAGCACCTTACCACTGCCAAAGACACAAGTTCAACATGACCACAGAAACCCAGGAGCTGTGTTCTTACGGCCTGGAAAGAGATTACTCAGACCGACAGAGGAATGAATGTGCTATTTGGTCCAAATGTGTGCTGCCACCAAATTTGCCTTGTTACTCCATGTAGTCTTTGTGAGTGGTTAGTGACAAGTGGCAATTTTTACTGCCATTGACGCTCTCACAGAAGGAAAAGATCACAATTTGCATGCTTTGTGAAGTGGGACTTCTGTAGCTGCTCAGGAGTGTCTAGGCATTTCTGGTGGGTTTGGCAAAGACAGCAGAGGTGCGTTTGTCAAGCCTACAAACCAGGTACTAACTGTGCCTGAAACAGTCCATATTTGAAGAGCTTTACAGATCAAAGACCAAGCTGCAACAAAGAATTTCTGTTGTTAGGAAGAATTGCATGGATTTTTTGGCTGACTTAATGATCCAAATTAATAGATACAGAAAATATCTAGAAGGGTATATGTGCCTGGTGAATCCCCCCAACCAGAGGCATGGGTGAGGAATGGAGCAGAGGTTATCAGAGCTGTTCCTGCTCAGGAAGGTAATGCCCTGAGGTCATTGCTTCTCCCAGAGTCAGACTCCAGGTGTAGAAGCCATGAACATCACCCTGCCACCTAACAGTTTTATAGCTCCATCTCCATTTAAGTCTATAAGAGAAAAAAAAAGGAACTCCTAGGATGCAACCCATCCTTTTTGTATGTACATACAGACAAAAAATAAAAAGACAATCTAAATTGAATGACACGCAGCTTGGCATGCAAGGGAGTGGACCTCTGCACCACAGAAAGTGGGCTAGACAACTCCCAGCCCAGTAAGCAACTGTGTTACTTGGAGTACACTTGGCTCACCCTGAGGGAGCAGGAGGGACACCATCCAGAGCTAGGGGTTCCCAGGTGCCTGTGGGGTGCTCCTGGCTGATATGCAAGGGGTGCAGTATGGAAGCAGGGGTTCAGAGTTAGCAAGTGTTTAACTTTGGCAAGTGTGAGTCAAGCTTTCCCAAGACAGCATTTCTAAAGGTCTAAGCTTTCACTTCCTATAATCACAGGCATGTGTACATAATTTTCTTCTGGAGAAGAAAAATGTACACGTAACAGTTATATACAGAGATAAAGCCATATAGTGAAACAAGTGGGTACTATGGACAAGAAAATTTTATAATACATTAAATGCATTGTCATTACTTGCTGTAATGACAGTTATTTCTCTGCCTTCACTATGGACTAACTTTAGGGTGAGGCTATTTTTTATTCACTGTTTTATATCTTTGATGCAACTTTTGTAGTTTTGCTGACACACAGATTTCCATGTCAATAAAAAATATGAAAATACAAACTAAATGTCTTTGCTTCTTTTCCCCCCCCGTCTTATATATTTAATGCTATTGGATATATCTAATAAAACACATGCATATAAGACATGTACAGTGAGATTCTTCCTTGATTTGTATCATTAAATTGTTTAAAGGTTCAGACGACTCGGAGAAAATTAGAAGCATTCTCCTTTCTTCATTTGTTGGAAGCACAACATCTTGGGAAAGTCAACCTTAGAAGAAAAAGTAATTGTAGAACCTAATATAACATTGAAATGCAGATTTCCAGTTACAGTTGAGGTTGGAATTTTTGACACATATTTCAGAGGTGGGTAAGTCTATTGTCAAACATAGCAAGCCATAGAACATACAAAGAGGGTAACGCACTGTTGGTTGAGTTTCATGGCAATAACTGTTAATTTATAGCAATTTAAAATGGAGGATCGTATTTATTTTACTTTCTTATGAATGATTGTAGCTTTAATATTGCACTTGGAATCTTGTATTTCTAACGTGTATAATGCTTTCCAGGAGAGGACAGTCCATACCCACGATCAGTAGTTTTCCATTATACTCTTAATCCAAGGAATATAATTGGAAACTCGAACGTAAACACCAGGTTTCATGGGTTTGGCACAGCCAAGGCCCCAAGAGGTGATTCCATGTTGGACAAATTTGTCTTGGTCCAGACAGACGAGAGGTCCTCCACTGTCCCCCTAAACAGAGAGAGAACGGGATGATTCCTTCACAGACAGATCCGTGTGCAAGACTGTTGTTCTCACAAGAGGCACAGAAACAGAACTATCTCTTGCGTGTGAGGGCCACACAAGTTATATGTGGAGCTCTAGCCAGAGAAGAGTTCTCTGCGGAGGTTGTTGAACACTTCAGTAGTCGTCTCTTCCCATCACCCAGGTATTACATTTATTTTTAAAGTAAGGGGGTTTGGTGAGAAGGAATCCTATAATCACAGGCATGTGTACATAATTTTCTTCTGGAGAAGAAAAATGTACACGTAACAGTTATATACAGAGATAAAGCCATATAGTGAAACAAGTGGGTACTATGGACAAGAAAATTTTATAATACATTAAATGCATTGTCATTACTTGCTGTAATGACAGTTATTTCTCTGCCTTCACTATGGACTAACTTTAGGGTGAGGCTATTTTTTATTCACTGTTTTATATCTTTGATGCAACTTTTGTAGTTTTGCTGACACACAGATTTCCATGTCAATAAAAAATATGAAAATACAAACTAAATGTCTTTGCTTCTTTTCCCCCCCCGTCTTATATATTTAATGCTATTGGATATATCTAATAAAACACATGCATATAAGACATGTACAGTGAGATTCTTCCTTGATTTGTATCATTAAATTGTTTAAAGGTTCAGACGACTCGGAGAAAATTAGAAGCATTCTCCTTTCTTCATTTGTTGGAAGCACAACATCTTGGGAAAGTCAACCTTAGAAGAAAAAGTAATTGTAGAACCTAATATAACATTGAAATGCAGATTTCCAGTTACAGTTGAGGTTGGAATTTTTGACACATATTTCAGAGGTGGGTAAGTCTATTGTCAAACATAGCAAGCCATAGAACATACAAAGAGGGTAACGCACTGTTGGTTGAGTTTCATGGCAATAACTGTTAATTTATAGCAATTTAAAATGGAGGATCGTATTTATTTTACTTTCTTATGAATGATTGTAGCTTTAATATTGCACTTGGAATCTTGTATTTCTAACGTGTATAATGCTTTCCAGGAGAGGACAGTCCATACCCACGATCAGTAGTTTTCCATTATACTCTTAATCCAAGGAATATAATTGGAAACTCGAACGTAAACACCAGGTTTCATGGGTTTGGCACAGCCAAGGCCCCAAGAGGTGATTCCATGTTGGACAAATTTGTCTTGGTCCAGACAGACGAGAGGTCCTCCACTGTCCCCCTAAACAGAGAGAGAACGGGATGATTCCTTCACAGACAGATCCGTGTGCAAGACTGTTGTTCTCACAAGAGGCACAGAAACAGAACTATCTCTTGCGTGTGAGGGCCACACAAGTTATATGTGGAGCTCTAGCCAGAGAAGAGTTCTCTGCGGAGGTTGTTGAACACTTCAGTAGTCGTCTCTTCCCATCACCCAGGTATTACATTTATTTTTAAAGTAAGGGGGTTTGGTGAGAAGGAATCTGACTGCCCTCAGTAACTTAAACTGTGCATCTTCCCTCAGCCTCTTCTGCTCAGGCTTCCTGTCGTTACTTGGTGATCCAAGACCAAGTGAATGCATGCATTCAAGCCACGTGTCTTGAGACATGAGTGCACACCCCTTGGCTGCTCGCCCGTCGCAGTGCTTGTGCACAGGGTAGCTGTGCTGTGTTGGCAATGGCGTTGACCTGCCGGCTGGGGCAGGCAGCCTTGCTGTTCTCACACTTCTTTACTGAGTCATCTCTAGCTTTTCAGGGGGGAAATTTCCATCTTGATTCAGTACATTAAGCTTTTCTAAGCCCTTTCATCTATTTAAAGAAACTAAAGAACTCAATTTCAAAACCTAGACTTCTGGAGAAAGCCTTCACCCCACGCTTGTGAGGTGATCTGTTGCCAAACATATCCTTTCTTTTCAGCAAAAGGGAAGTCCAGCATGCATGTTCCCTCAGTGTTATTTTGAGGCACTGGCACTGACACTTAGAAATTAGTAGTTCTTTTGGGCCTTGGTATGGCTGCATGGCAGGCCTCATGCATTTTTCCTTAACTGCTAACTGAGATGTCTCAGGTTGTTAACCGAGATAGCTTGGCCATTGGAGTGGGTCTAGCAGAGGCAAGCAAAGTGGTCTTGGGAAGAAAAACCAGACCTTTAGTTATTCTAAGTTGGCTTCAGTACACCTGGCTCAGGCAGCTGTGTATTACCATGTGCTCTGTAGTTCAGGCTTATCTGAACAATTACCTGCCTCACTTCCCAGCAGCAGACAAGGGAGAAAGGGAAGAGCAGAATCCAAGTCATGTTTTTCAGCTTGTATGCCATGTGGTGTGGCAGGATCCCAGGGCTAATCCTGGGCCTCTAAAGTCCAGAAAGCAAAGCACTATTTGATTTGGATGGGCTTACAACCAACTCTGATGCTCACAGACTCTCTTACCTGGCAGGTGTCTGTGCCACCATGAATATTCCCAGCACAGAGCTCATGTTTTCTGACTCTCCCACCCAAAAATTCAGGGCGGTTGCATATTTTATTCTCGATTACAGGGAAACCAGTTTCCTTTAAGACTCCTATACCACCAGTTCCTTTACAAATGAAAACAAAACCAAACCACAATAAATGACAAAGGTAAATGAACATCTTCATAAAACAAACATCTAGATATGGATAAGCAGTAAAATATTTGCTTTTTGCATATACTTTCTATGCATAATACAAAGTGATACCAAACCTAGTAAGCATTATCATGGTACTTATCACCCTCTACCACCCATCAAAATCGACACTGCACTGATTGACCCTTGTGCTCCCACAGTATATCCATATGGATCCAGTACCCACTGACATTTGCGGGAGTCATTCCCAAGCCATTTTATTTCTCTGTATCTGAGTTTTCCTCTCTGTAGAAGAAAGGAAGTAGGAAATAAACAGTTGAAAATGGCAAGATGGGGAGAAGCAAGGATGCAGAGAAGGTACTGATGCACTTCTCAACTGGGACAAAGTGGGAGCTTATGAAAATGAGAGTTATGTTTATAGTTGTGTGAGATCTGAACCAGGCTGGTTGGGAAAAAAAATCATTCAAGAGAATGAGTGAGCTCACCTTCATGAGATTAAGAAATAGCCTAAACCTAGAAAAACTTTCCTTCTGACTGCGTAAAAGCCCACTTTGAGGAAAAGCAGAGTGGACTGAGAGATAAGAGCTGGCAACTCCTTAAGTCTGATTCTCCTCTCTTAGTATTGGTTTTGGGGGTTTCAGTTTATGTGGCTCTGGGTGATTTAGGAGAATCTAAATCACAGTGAGACAGTGCAAAGAAGGGCAGTACCTGATGAATTTTGATGAAATAAGTATACATGCAAGCTTGTGTGGGATGTTTTTGGCACAAAGAAAACACACATTGGATACAAGTATATATCAATCTCCAAACACAAAGCTTTCAGATGTGTTAAATCTCTCTCACCTTCTGTTTCCCCCCAGCCTGTCACATAGCACTCCTCTCTTCCTCCTAACACAGAATTTTCTTTTGGCAAACAAACCGGGATTACATAATTATTAATAATCGCTGGTCTGAAAGAAACAAACAAGAGACTCAAACAGGAACAATTATTAGCACAATTATCCCTTCAGGTTTCTAGAAAGATTTTATATATAGTCAACCTTTTGTCTTTGAAATCCTGATCTCCAAGTAAGGAGTTTTTCTGATGTGCAAAACCACTTTTATTTTAGGCTCTAATCCCTCAGAGTGTGATACACAATGGGATAAGATCTGAAATGGAGAACAGTCAGAGGCTTTTGTTTCTAAAATTGCTAATATAAATCTAATAGAATTCTTTGACTTAGGCTAATGCATAGCCAACAAAACCTAATTACAAAGCTACGTAGGGGTATGAATTAGTGGCATTTAACATATAGGTGTTATCTTGCTGTCTGCATCCAGTCTGACTATCTATACACCACTTTCAAACTGGACTCTTAGCATGTAGTGGAATCCAAGTCAGTCTGACTTGCCTTTGGGTGCAGCTAAGGCTAGGTTCAATTAAGAAGCCATGTTAATTGTGCTGACCCTGTGTCATGGTTTGACCCCAGCTGGCAACTATGACCATTCACTCACTCCTCCCCTCCACCCCCAGTAAGGTAGAGAGAAGAGAGAGAAAAAGGAGGGGAAAAAAACCCCTCATGGGTTGAGATAAAGACAGTTTAATAGAACAGTAACGGAAGAGAATAATAATAGTAATAGTAATAATAATGGTAAAAAGAATGTACAAAGTAAAGTGATGCAATACGATTACTCTCACCACCCAATGATCAGTTGCCCATCCCATCCCAATCAGCAATC